AGAGGAGAAAAACCCTAGTTTTTCTGGGGAATCAGAGGAAGTTCTTGGAGATTGGAAGCTGGACTACACTGAGTTTTATTTTTCTTCCTCTCCCTTTCTCTTGTTCTTAGACTTAGTATTTTCTCTATTTTTGCGGATTTATCATGTATTTTCAGATTTGTTTAATCTTGAATATATTTGAGTTTACATTGATAGGTGGCTAGATTCTTATGCTAGGGGACTTGATGCAACCTTGCTATGATTATGCTATGAATATTTGATGCTATTTGATGTTTTTCATGCCCAAACATTTGTGCTCTTCTTTGTTTAATGCTTTAATAAATTGAAAGATTGATTAGAAGATTTAGATATGTGGATTTAGGCTTGAGAGAGTCACTTGCACATGTTGGGATTTGTTGAACACAGCCTAGTGAGTATTGGAGTCGAGAGATGAATATGAGCTAGGTAATCACAAATGAATTAGAGCTTAATGAATGCACAATTAACTTAATTAATAGGGATATTAATTAGGTGATTTTGCATATATTTGACTCGGCACTCGAGAGAGGGAGTTGGATTATTTTAGGAAATTCATGATTAATGTTTGGCTTGAGAGAAATCAATATCATTAAAAAAGGATTAGAATAATTAGGCAAGGTGAAATCAAGGACCCTAGCTACCTTATCATTAGAGCTCCCTTCGATCCCAAAAGTTTCTTCCATTGTTTAATTTGCTCGTCTAATTAGTTTAGCATTTTATTTTTTGTTTTGATTGATCTCACTCTCATGATTGGACTTGTCTAGATAAAACTAGGTTATTCTAGTTGTGATACTTAGCTAGATTTTAGGAACACAATCCTCGTGGGACACTCACTTACTCACTACTTTATTACTTGTCGACCTCGTGCACTTGCGAGTAGAAAATAGGTGTTATTTTCGCACCGATCAAGTTTTTGGCGCCGTTGCCGGGGATAGGTTGTTGTTAAAACTTGGCTAATATTGTGACGAAGTAGCCTACTTTAATTTAGAAGTTTTTATTTTATTTTATTTTATATTTGTCTTTAAATTCTTTTAAATTTTTGTTTGCTTGTTTGCCGTTTTGTTCTTGAAGGTGAATGCGAAGAGCCCATAGCTTAGAATTATTACCTCTTGACCTGGAGATTGAACGGACAATTCGTGAAATTAGAAGGGAAAAGAGAAATCAAGCACGAGCTATGGGTGATCAGAATCATAATAACAATAATATTGAGCAACAGAGGGCAATTCAGGATTATTTCAAACCCCCAGTTCAGGAACACTATTCAGGTATCCGGAGGCAGACTGTCAATGCCAACAATTTTGAGCTGAAGCCTTCCTTGATCTCGATGGTTCAACATAATCAGTTTGGGGGATTGCCCAATGAGGACCCAAACACTCACTTGTCCATGTTCTTGGAAGCGGCTGACACGGTAAAGATTAATGGTGTCACTGAGGGCACCATTAGGTTGAAATTGTTCCCATTCTCTCTTCGGGACAAGGCTCGACAGTGGTTGATATCACTACTGACGGGGAGTATTGGCACTTGGGAAGAGATGACTGAGAGGTTTCTCACAAAGTTCTTCCCACCATCTAAGGCATCCCAGTTGCGGAGTGAGATTGGATCTTTCCGCCAAAATGACTTTGAGCCGTTGTATGAACCTTGGGAACGGTTCAAGGACTTGCTCAGAAAATGTCCTCAGCATGGGTATGACGAGTGGATGCTGATTGTCAGGTTCTATAATGGGTTGAATGGCCAATCGAGGACTATTGTTGATAGCACTGCAGGTGGATCATTGATGGTAAAGTCTATTCCAGAGGCCTACAATTTGCTTGAAGAAATGTCTACCAACAGCTATCAATGGCCTTCAGAGCGTTCAATATCGAAAAAAACTGCTGGTATTCATGAGGTGGATCCGTTAACTTCATTGTCAGCATAGGTTTCAGCTTTGTCAAATCAGATTGCAGCCTTAACTAACAGAGAAGCGTCATCTAGCAGAGAGGCAGTGGCAGGTGCCAGTAGACTTTTTGCACAGGATGAGTACACTCAGGAGCAGGTTCAGTTTGTGAACAACAGGAACTTTAACTATAGGCCCAATCAATTGCCCAATCACTATCATCCTGGCTTGAGGAACCATGAGAATTTCTCCTATGCCAACAATAGGAATGTTTTGCAACCTCCTTCGGGTTTCAATCAACAAGTGGTGGAAAAGAAACCTTCTGTGGAAGATTTGTTGAGTACCTTCATTGTTGAGACTAGAGGGAGGTTTAACAAGGATGAGGCTAGACTTGACAACATTGAGACACATTGTAACAACATGAATGCAACCATGAAGTCTCTTGAGGTGCAAATTGGTCAACTAGCTAATGTGGTTAAGGGGCAATCATCTGGCAAGTTCCCAAGTGATACGGAGCCTAATCCCAAAGACCATTGCAAGGCTATCACCTTGAGAAGTGGGAAAGAAGTTGAGGCTCCTAAGCCCCAAGAGGATAAAACCGAGGAAGAAGAGGTAGGAACCGAGCAACTGAAGGAAAGTGCAAGGCCTAAGTCAATCTCTTTTCCAGATAATCCTCCTCTCATTACTCCTACCCTCCCGTATCCGCAAAGATTCAAAAAGAAGAAGTTGGATGCTCAATTTTTGAAATTTTTAGAGATTTTCAAGAAGATCCATATCAACATCCCCTTTACAGATGCACTTGAACAAATGCCTAATTATGTCAAGTTTATGAAGGATGTCATGGCAAAGAAGTGGAGGTTGGAGGATTATGAGACCGTCAAGCTAACAGAAGAGTGTAGTGCTATCCTTTAAAGGAAGTTGCCTTAAAAGTTGAAAGCTCCTGGGAGTTTCACTATTCCGTGTACTATTGGAGATTCTCACTTCGAGAAGGCCTTGTGTGATCTTGGAGCTAGCATCAATCTTATGCCTCTGTCCGTCTTTCGAAAGCTCGGACTTGGGGAAATCACACCAACTACCATATATTTGGAAATGGCGAACAGGTCTCTCACTTATCCAAAGGGTGTCATAGAGGACGTGTTGGTGAAGGTGGATAAATTTGTTTTTCCCGCTGATTTTGTTGTGTTGGATATGGAAGAGGATCGAGAAATTCCCATCATCCTAGGGAGACCCTTTTTGGCTACCGGAAAAGCGTTGATCGATGTGCAAAGTGGTAATTTGACTTTAAGAGTGAATAATGAGGAAGTAAAGTTCAACATCCTTAACACAATGAGATTTTCGGAAGAGAAATCAACATGTCATCGGGTGGAAGTGGTAGAGTTTTGCATCAAGGAATTCTTTCAAGAAGTAACCCACAATGACCCTCTAGAACACAGCATCACTACATCCTTGAACATGGCCGATTTTGGTGAAGATCATTGTATTAAGGAAGAGGGTATCGTTGATAGTGTTCTAGCTCTTGAGGCTTTATCGTGTGAAGTGGGGGATAATGCTCAAGTGAAAATTTTAGGGAAGCTTGGTGAGTGCTTCGTCTCCCCAAGCTCATCGAAAGAAGGGTTAGTGCTGAAACAATTACCGGAACATCTTCGTTATGCCTTTTTGGGTGAGGATTTTTCTAAACCAATTATTATTTCGGCTTCTTTGAACAAGGAAGAAGAAGAGAAGCTCCTAGTTGTTTTGAAGAAACACGAGTCTGCCTTTGCTTGGTCTATTTCAGATATTAAGGGTATAAGTCCTACAATTTGCATGCACAAAATTCTCATGGAAGATGCTTACAAGCCATCTATTGAGCATCAAAGAAGATTGAATCCAGCCATGAAGGAGGTGGTGCGAGCTGAGGTGCTGAAGTTGTTGAATGCTGGGATCATTTATGCCATTTCGGATAGCTCATGGGTCAGTCCGGTTCAAGTTGTGCCAAAGAAGGGTGGCATGACAGTGGTGAAAAATGATAATAATGAGCTCATCCCTTCAAGAACAGTGATTGGATGGCGAGTTTGTATTGACTACCGGAAGTTGAACAAGGCCACTAGGAAGGATCATTTTCCCCTTCCTTTCATTGATCAAATGTTGGACCGGTTGGCAGGGTACGACTATTATTGTTTTCTTGATGGATACTCGGGCTACAATCAAATTGTCGTAGCCCCCGAAGACCAGGAGAAAACGACATTCACTTGTCCTTATGGTACTTTTGCTTTTCGGCGGATGCCCTTCGGTTTATACAATGCACCCGCCACTTTTCAAAGGTGCATGATGGCAATCTTCTCGGATATGGTAGAAGAGATTATGGAGATTTTCATGGATGATTTTTCAGTTTTCTAATCAACATTCAACCATTGCCTCCACAATCTCTCTCTCGTGTTGCAACGATGTGAGGAGAAGAATCTAGTTCTCAATTGGGAGAAGTGCCATTTCATGGTACAAGAGGGGATCGTTCTCGGACATCAAATTTCATCGCAGGGAATAGAGGTGGACAAGGCTAAGATAACCGTGATTGAAAAGCTTCCGCCACCTATAAATGTGAAGGGAGTCCGGAGTTTCCTTGGTCATGCGGGATTCTATCGGAGGTTCATAAAAGATTTCTCTAAGGTTATCAAGCCATTGTGTAACCTCCTAGAGAAGGATGTGGTCTTCAACTTTGATGAGTCTTGTTTGGAAGCCTTCAACGCTATCAAGGAGAAACTAGTTTCGGCTCCAGTTATGGTGGCACCCGATTGGAATGAGCCATTTGAGATTATGGGTGATGCTAGTGACTATGCTGTTGGGGCAGTTCTTGGTCAAAAGAGAGACAAGATTTTTCGAGCCATTTACTATGCCTGTAGGACATTGAATGAGGCCCAACTCAATTACACCACCACTGAGAAGGAGATGCTTGCGGTGGTATTTTCTTGTGATAAATTTCGGTCCTACATCATTGGGTCCAAGGTGATAGTTTTCACGGATCATGCAGCAATTCGCTACTTGTTTGCGAAGAAAGATGCCAAGCCTCGCTTGATTCGTTGGATTCTTTTGCTTCAAGAATTCGACATCGAGATACGAGACAAGAGAGGTTCAGAAAATGTGGTTGCAGATCATCTCTCCAGGCTAGAGCAATTGGAAGTGGATGAAACCCCCATTATTCAAGAAACATTCCCGGATGAACACTTGTTTGAGGTTGAAGTGAGGCTCCTTTGGTTCGCAGATTTCATCAACTACCTTTCTTGTGAGGTATTACCACCGGACTTGAGTTCCTATTGTTGATACCAGAATTTCTCACACACCGATAGCCCACTGGCGAAGTATTGTCCCCACTTGGGCCCGCCGTGACGGGTGGGGTTTTGTCCCTTCGTAAAAGGCGCCTCACCAACCCCCTCCGGTGCCCCACCGGCAAAGTATTGTCCCCACTTGGGCCCGCCGTGACAGGTGGGGTTTTGTCCCTTCGTAAAAGGCGCCTCGCTGGTAGGAGGGGTTGGCGACTCCACTGGGGACGTTTGGCCACGGCCTGCCTCCCCAGTCCCCCTGTCTCGGGGGGCACTGTTGTACACCAAGAGTCCCACATCGGTTGGAGACGGGGGTCTGGAGAGGTATATGTACCAGAGTGCCAACCCCTCCTACCAGCAAGGCACCTTTTACGAAGGGACAAAACCCCACCCGTTACGGCGGGCCCAAGTGGGGACAATACTTCACCGGTGGGCCATCGGTGTGTGAGAAATTCTTGTATCAACAGTTGGCGACTCCACTGGGGACGTTTGGCCACGGCCTGCCTCCCCAGTCCCCCCGTCTCAGGGGGCACTGTTGTACACCAAGAGTCCCACATTGGTTGGAGACGGGGGTCTGGAGAGGTATATGTACCAGAGTGCCAACCCCTCCTACCAGCGAGGCGCCTTTTATGAAGGGACAAAACCCCACCCGTCACGGCGGGCTCAAGTGGGGACAATACTTCGCCGGTGGGCCATCGGTGTGTGAGAAATTCTGGTATCAACACCTATCAAAAGAAGAAATTCATTCATGATGTGAGATATTATCTTTCGGATGATCCAATATTGTTCAAAAGATGCTCCGATCAAGTTATTCGGAGATGCATTCCTGAAGAGGAGATACATGATGTTCTCCATCATTGTCACTCGTCGCTCTATGGTGGACATTTTGGTGCAACAAGAACAACGACAAAGGTTCTTCAATCCAGTTTTTATTGGCCAACCTTGTTTCGGGATTGTCACGAGTGTGTAAAGTGTTGTGACCATTGTCAACGTGTGGGGAACATCTCTAGAAGGCATGAAATGCCCTTGAGCAATATTATGGAAGTGGAAATATTTGATGTTTGGGGTATTGACTTCATGGGACCTTTCCCGCCTTCATATGGTCAGCTTTACATTCTCTTGGCGGTGGATTATGTCTCTAAGTGGGTGGAAGCTATTGCCACTCCAACAAATGAAGCCCGGGTGGTTGTGAAATTTTTGCAGAAGAACATCTTCACAAGGTTCGGTACCCCCCGAGCTATCATAAGCGATGAAGGGACGCATTTTTGCAACAAGGTGTTCAATGTGTTGTTGGCCAAGTATGGAGTAAGGCACAAGATCGCCCTAGCTTACCATCCACAAACCAATGGTCAAGCGAAAGTTTCTAACCGGGAAGTCAAGCTCATTTTGGAGAAGACAGTGAACACTAACCGTAAGGATTGGTCAACAAAGCTGGATAATGCTTTATGGGCGTATAGGATAGCTTTCAAAACACCAATCGGAATGTCACCCTATCGGTTGGTGTTCGGGAAGCCTGGCCATCTACCTGTGGAGCTTGAGCACAAAGCGTTTTGGGCAATCAAGAAGTTGAATTTTGACTTGAACGCTTCCGGTGAGCAGCGCCTACTCCAACTAAATGAACTTGAGGAATTTCGGAATGAGGTCTATGAGAATGCAAGGCTATACAAAGAGTGCACCAAGAAGTGGCACGATCAGAAAATCTTAAGGAAATAATTCTTTCTAGGGCAAAAAGTATTGCTTTTCAATTCCCGGTTGAAACTCTTTCCGGGAAAATTGAGATCGAGATGGTCCGGACCCTTTGAAATCAAGCAAGTATTCCCATTTGGTGCAGTTGAACTTCTAGGAGGTGATGGGCAAACTTTTTGCGTGAACGGGCAAAGGTTGAAGCATTACCATGGAGGAGAAGAGCGGAAAGTTGTTAGCATCTCTCTTGCAGACCCAAATTGAGTGGAAGCATCACCACGTCTAGCTAGAGACGTTAAATCAAGCGCTTCTTGGGAGGCAACCCAAGTCTTTTATTTATTTATTTTATTTTTACTTTTATCTTTATTTTTATTTTTATTTTCTTCATCTTTTCAATTGTCATCTTGAAGGAGTAAGGAGTTCAGGAGCAAGCGCACGCCCGCACAATGCTAAAGTCCAGGAGCAGGCGCGCGCCCGCGCGTCTGCCAACGCTGAAGTTCCAGAAGAAGGCGCGCGCCCACGCGACCGCGCAGAGGACGGAAAGCCCAGAAGCAGGCGCGCACCCGCGCGACTCCAGGCGCGCGCCCGCGCGTCGACTCAAACTCCAGAAGGAGGCGCGCGCCCGCGCGCCCCCGTGAAAAAAAAATTTGTTCATTCCAGAAGGGTTATTCTCTCCATCCCCCTACCTCATCTCTCCTTCTCCAAATTTTTTTTTCTTTCCCTCATCTCTCACCTTCCCTCATCTCTCTCAAACCACCACAACTCATCTCTCTTTCAAGCACACCTCTGGCCACCATTGTGCCACATCCGGCAGCCACCGTAGAGCCTCCGACACCGGAATTTGTGCAACAAAATTGGAGGAGTTTTCCAAAGTGTTCCAAGGGTTCTAAGGCTCCAACACAATCCGACCAAGGTACGCATTTTCCTTGATGCAAG